TTTTTTTTTTTAAATGTAATTCTATAAAGTTTCATAATACGTGTTCATAGAATTTCATTAAAATACAGAAGAAGAAACACGCATGATTTTAGTTAAATAACAAGAAAATATATATCTTAATATATATAAATTACGTGTCACGTTGTTTGTCCACAATGAACTCCTAAACTACTGAACCGATTTTAATTCAAATTTTACACACTGTGTACAATTTCATCCAACTTGAAAGATAGGATAGTTTATATCTCAATTTATAATCGCAATATTATTTTATAACTTAAAGACGTGTGTATCGGACTGATTGTGAGCCACAGCAACGCGTGATGGGGCACTCCTAGTATATATATATAAATTAATTTGATCACATATTGTAATAGAAAATAAAATGAACGTTCTTCTCAGGTAAATAAAAGATAAAAGATGAAAATATAATTGAAAAAATTTACCTAAATTGTTACCAGGTTCATCGTAATCTGGTACAGCGAATGCCGAAACGTAAGCAATGAGAACGAATGATAAAATGATCACGAAAGTCTTCATGATTGTTTTTATCAAATTACAAATTGTTATATGCAAAACAATACGAAATAGTTTACTATCGAGTAAGTCAACAAAACTGTTGTGTGATCGAAAAACAATTCTTGGATTCTTTTATAGGTCTCTTCTTGTAATTTCAAACCACACGAAACATCCTAATCTAATGTTCTCTTTTTCCTCATTAATTTATTTATCTAACAAGGGTTTCCTATTCTTTTTGGTTTTATAACATTTTTAACGGAATTTCCTCGTGGTTTTCTTTTTTTTCTTTTTTTTTTAAACGATTGATAGTGATATCTATTGTATATTTTGACCAATTATCAAATGTTAATGTCCGATTATTAACTTACCGATAACAATAGTTATGATGATGCAATAAAATGTGATTTTCCATTAAAATGGACAAATAAAAAAAAGGAAAGAACAACACTAGGGAGAGAGAAAATAACGTTAACTCGAATAATTTTCTAATCGAATGTTCACGAGAACAAATTCGATTATAAGAAACTTATGCGAACTATCGTTTTACTACGTCGTAAAATATCTTTAATATAAATTGAGAAATTCCTTTGATAAATTTAAGGAGTTTTTTTTCTTTTTTTTCTATTTTTTTACACCTGACCACCTGGACAACTTTAATTTCAAAAATTATTCTTCTCCTTTGATAAATAATAATTCAATTACATTGTTATGACATACATTTCATACAATTTCATACGCGTTAGGTCATATTACATCATGACACTTTTTTGTTAATAAAACAAATAATTCGCGATTAATAAAATAATATTGCGAATTATAAATTGAGATATTAACTATTCTATCTTTCAAGTTGAATGAAATTGCACACAGTGTGCACAAATTTTATTCAAATCGGTTCAGTAGTTTAGGAATCCATTGCTGACAAACACCGTGACATAACGTAATTTATATATATATATATATATATATATATATATATTAAGATTAGTTTCGATAAGTAAAAAATAGTTTTATATTTTATTATTTTCGTTAAATAAAATATAATAATAACGCGCCGACAGTTGAATTTTGGGCCTGACGAGAAAACTCAATCGAAACAGGCTGAGCCACGAACATGTTAATACAAACTATCATCACGATACCATTTAATTATACTAATTTATTAATGATCAATATTATCATAATTATATTTAATTGTGTGTCTTTTTCTATTTTGTTTTTTTTTTTATCAGATAAAAAAGAAAATAAAGAAAAAGGAACAAAGAGAGAGAGAGAGAAAGAGAGAGAGAGAGACATGAGAAGACAATCATTTGCTTCGAATTTGAGTAGCGGAAGTACAGGGGAACCGCTTATCGTCGTTGAGGAAAGTACAATTGGTGAAGAGGATGCCGAATGTCGAAGGAACGAATCCCCACCACGTTGTCTTGATCCTGATTCCCCATCCATAAATCCCTATCTTCTATCACCATGGAGGGAAACCAGAAAACATTCTTTACCAACACCACCATGTACATCCGGGATAACCGCATCCCAGGTATTATCATCTTTTACATTACAATGATAATAATAATAATAATAATAATAATTTATTTAACTAAATAATATAACAAACGTTTATTATATATTTTAAATGAATATGTAAATGTTATTACATTAATATTAATATTTCTATTGGGTTGTTCGGAAAATAATTTCATTTTTCTTTTTGTGAAAACCCTGTACTTCATACTTTTTTTTTTTTTTTTTACAATACAATCACCAATAGTTTTTCAATTTCTAAAATCGAATGAAAAGAAAAAAAACGGATGACTTTGATTGATTAAGGTACGACGTTTGAGCGAAAGAGGAGGTGAAGGTTCGGGTCCATCGCCAAGGGAAGCAGCTTTTCTTGCTACTTTGTCTCAAGCACCACAACAACAAACCGGAAGAAGACATTCCGTAGTAACGATCTCAAGGGTACCACCAACCGTATTTGGTCGCAATCGTCGTGAATCTATTGCTGCATTTCCTTTACCTGGTGTTTCAAGGATATTACCTGGTAGACGAGATTCAACAGGGCCACCGAGCAACAGTGGTAGCACTCATAATCTTCAATTGGATATAATGGACGATATAGCAAAGATCAAAGCAAGAAAGGTAATTCAATTATGGATTTCTTTTTGATTTGATTTTCTATTCAATGAAAAATCGAGAATGCCAAACTTATCGGGCATTCGTGAGAAGGATTGGGTCGATGGGCAGCCCTGGATAGCTCGATTGGTTAAAAAGAGCAGTCGCCCGAAAAGCGAAAGATCCGTGGTGTTCGAGTCCCCGGGCCCAGTCAGTCCAGCGATCCAATTTTGTTCACGAATCCCACATAATTGTATACAGGAGAAGAAAAAAAATGGTTATAAAATGTTCAACGAGAGTTTAAAATGATATGATATATAATATAAAAGATAAAAGATCAAGGAAGTAAGGAATGATAAAATAACACGTAGAGGAATAATATACGCGTTCATAACGTGTAGAAGAGAGAGCGTCATTACGTATAATTTATTTTACTACTCGCAGAAGTGATTCTCTCAGAGCAGTTATCCTCTCTACTAAAGCTGCACACTTAAAGCGAGTTTCAAAGTGTCCCTGGCATACGTTTTAGTAAAGTAGATACACGACGAATAAGATACTTCCGAACAAGTAGAAAGAATAATTATCCGGGATTACGTTAAAACGAGATGACACTAGCTTAGTTAATTGCAAGTAACTCTACGAGTGTTGTTTCTTCCTTCATCTTATGTAAATTACTTTTCTCTTAAAGTAAAAAAAAAAAAAAAATCAGAAGAATAAGAAGATGATTATATAAAACACGTTCGTAGGATAAAAACTTGTAGATTGTCAATCATTGTGTCAAATGAAATAAATGTCGTTTAGAGTTTGCTATCAATTCAAATATTATTATTGTTAGTTCAAAGAAAAAATTTCAATTGTTCTTGTATGTATGTAAAAAAAAAAAAAAAAAAAAAACAAACAAAGAAACAAACGAGTTAACGTCAAATCAATCTAAATACTTTTTGTCGAGATAACTCTCTCGTTTCAAAGGGTACAATTTAAACTTTGTGCGTTACAGGTACGTTTGAAAATGTTCAAAACACCGTCACGTGAATGCGTTTATGAGATTCAACCTATGGAAGGTGATAGTTCAAGTCAACATTATACTCAATATCAAAAACGACGATTTTCCGAATTTCAAATGCCCACGACAATATCACCGAGTACAAATTCATCGATAAAAAGACGAGTTTCCGAAGTAACAAGGTTACCAACTGAAATGATAGCCAGTACTACATCAGCGGCTGGTATCGTTTGTTCTAATACCGATTTGATATCGATCTTAAGTTCATTGACATCATCGGCAACGGAAATAAACAGATGTGGGGAGGAAAGTTCATCGGTGTCATTTAGAGATGATGCCACTGGCAAGTCAAGTTGGTCGAGCAAAACCACAGAACAAAAACGTAACAAATTGAAAAGCTCACGTTCGAACAGTTTTGACGTATCAATTTTACATGGTACAAATAGCAAACAAACTAGTCCCGGTACAAAATCAACAGCTTCTTCGATAATGGGACCGTCAAATTGGTTTACCAAACGACATCAACCAATGTGCAAGAAACAAAAGAGCGCGGAATCTGCCCTACCAAATTTATCTTTTAAATTTGACAAATCTAAAGTGGTTCGTGCGGTAAAAGATACTTTAAACAAATCACCACCAACTAAGGATAACGAAACGAGACACAAAGTCGTTTGGGATGATACAAGTGGTACCAAAGTTGACGCACAAGTGAGTACTTTGTTAAATATTACGTTGTCAAGTATGAAATGGGACAAAATCTAATTCAATTATGTACATTTTTTGCCCCATTTCATAATTAACAACCTAATAATACATTTTACTTTCATTTCTTTATAAATATTTATATTATTTTGTCAGGTTCTTGGCAGTGCAATAGAAAAAATTTTAACCGCACAAAGAGGAAATGACGCGGAATCAGGTGGTACGTCCAATGGAAAACCTTCGGTTTCACCTAACAAATCGAGATCTGGAAAAATGACAACTTGGTTTTCATCGGGTGGTGGTGGTGGTGGTAGTGGTAATAAGGAACAACAAGAACAGACTGAATCATGCGAGGCCTCCATTTGTTCCTCTCTTAAGGATCTTTTCGTAAAGTAGTTTATACGTAACGGTCTACTCGTTCCTTGTATCTCGTCATTCGAATTAATCTATCATTCTCCTCCTCCTCCTCCTCCTCCTTCTCCACCACCTCAACTATCTTCTCTCTCGTTGTATTGTATTATATTTATGTACATTTAATCAAACGATAGAATTTGATGATAGGAAATGTGTTATTTAAATTGTGATTAATCCATTTTTTTAAAAAGGCAGACAACTATTATTGCATTTTTTAATCCATTTTATATATATATATACATATATACACACACATATATATATACTCTTGTTAGAATGAAATGTTAGTCTAGGAAAAAGAGACTTATGTTTTTAAATTTAGAAAAGTGTATGTCTAGTTCAGGGATATGATAATAATTGACAATCTATGAGATTCATGTAAATTTTGTTCCCCTTTTATAGTTTTGATTGGAATCTTTACAAAATCTTATGATATCAAAATAATATAGAAAAAAAAAAAAAAATATATAATTTTATCGATCCTATTACAATCGTGTTATCGTATCATAAATCAATGAGAGAAAAATGACATATTTATTCAAAGACAACAAATGAATGAACAATTAAAAAGTGCATGTGATCATCGTATTCCAATTTACCAATGTTTTACGTATGTATAAGACTTTAATGTGCAAAAATGGCATATGTATATTAGAACTGCTTATTCCGTGAACTGTTAGAGAAAAAAAAAAGAAAAAAGAAAAAAGATAAAAAAAAAAAAACGAAACAGATTAGAAAAATTACATCTCATGTGTATCGATGAAATTCTTGCCGATGTTTCTTTCATATTCGTGTTAACTCTTTGGGGGACGACACGGTGGGATTAAAAGTGTCCCACCTTTTTTGATACACCATAATGCACGGTGGGGACGACATTTTTAGTCCCACCTCGAAATATTATTGCAATAGTTATTACACACGCTCGTAAGTTTATATTTCGTCTTATTTACGCAAAACAATTGATTATTTTATGTTTTTACATTATGTTATATATTTATTCATAAAAAATATACCAATTTAGTTTCATTTAAAAAAACTTCATCAAATTTCTCTATGCAACATTGAGCTGGCTATTTTATTATCTACAATTCTATCCTGCAAAGAATTAATTTCAATAATAAAAATAAATTAATGTAAATAAAAAGAAAACTACCCATTATATATCGTCTTATCGATAAACGGAATAGGACGGGTTACAGGATAGGCTTCTTCTTCTTCTTCTTCTTCTTGTCGTTGAAAAAAAAAAAAAAAAAAAAAGAAAAAAAAAACAACAAGAAAATGATAAAAAAACGAAAGATTTGCAATCTTACAAACGTCGTTTTAAATCTACAAACTTAAAATGATGGTTGAGATATCATTAAATTTCTGTTAATAATAATAATAATAATAATAATTTGAAAAAGATAATATTTTGAAATGTATGAAATAAAAATGAAAGAAATTACATATAAGCCGATATATGTAGATTGCTTTAAAATAAATGAATCATTTATGTCGTTAAAATGAATTATAATGGAGGTAGTATTCTGTACTATTCACTGCATACTATTCTACATTGAACGAGGACAAATGACTCATTAATAATCATACTATTCTAAGCAAAGTCACCTAACATGTCTTGTGCATAACAATGACTATTGCACTGAATAATACCTATATATATATATATATTATGTGCATACATAATAATATGCGTTCACCTTTGCGGGCCAAAGGTTTATTAAATAATTGTAATATATTATATACTTATTTATAAAATATAAGAAAAGAATATATGATCTAATTTTAATATAATATTATGGGAATTGTATGCAAGTTGTATGTTATTATATATGTAAATTCAATTAGGTTATCAGATTACCAGAAAGTGTTTAATGTCATACCCCCCGCCCCTCCCCAAAAAAATATATTGTAATTATCTATATAAGATAGATTATCTATTAAAAAGAAAAATAAAGACTAATAGAAAATCGTAAAAATGATAGCGAACTCTATCAAATAAAAAAGTAACAAAGTTATATATATATATATATACTAGGAGTGCCCCGTTACGCGTTGCTGTGACTCACAATCAGTCCGATACACACAATAATTCGCAATAAAATAATATTGCGAATTATAAATTGAGATATAAACTATCCTATCTTTCAAGTTGGATGAAACTGCACACAGCGTGTAAAATTTGAATTAAAATCGGTTTAGTAGTTTAGGAGTTCATTGCGGACAAACAACGTGACACGTAATTTATATATATTAAGAAGAAGATATATAAATATATATATAATATTATTTTCAGCAAACAGACCTTAAATTATTTTAATAGAAATTATCTATGACGACGAATGGAACAAGAGATTAATTGTAAATATATTAGATAAATGTAACTTGAGTATTATTATACCAAGAACTACATGTTTCTTTCTCTCTGTATCAATGTTGAGAAATAATTGCAATGAGATTATCGAATTATAAATCTGAATAATAAAAATCTTATCTGATCTATATGTATATATTTTATCCTTCAATATATCTAATCTTTGCATAATCTAATATTATTTTTGTATCCATTTAACAGATTATATATATATATATCATGGTCAAAGATCAAAATCAGATCAAATGATATACATCTCATAGATTTCTGAGAACAATTTTATTTTACAGAAATCGGAACTATTCAAACTGTTGCATCTACATTTTTTTTTTTGTTTCTTTTTTTATTTCGACGCTGGTGCTCTCTACAAGAAATTTCAAATAACTCACAATTTAATGTCTGCTTTTATATAGTTGTCCTCTAACAATCAAGTAAATATCGATTATTATTATAATACGACACCACCATCACACGTTATACAAGGGATTAATTTGATACGTATCAAAATTGACATTTATAATATACTGAAAATGAAAAAAAAAATTACGACGAATAAATCTAGAAAATAATCATCAAATGCAAAAGCACAATAAAAAGAAAATCTGATATGATATTGATCGATACTGTAGATAATAATGCATCGTTAAAAAAATACAGTATTAACTAATTGTTCTAATAAAAAATAAAAATATTATTTTTAATGTTAAAATGAAAAAAGAAATCAATGGCATAGAAGAATTACTGTAAACGTACGAGATGAACACTTTTCTTTTAATAATACATCATGCATATAGATCAACATTTTTTTTTTTTTTTTTTTTTACGGAAGAATGTGGATTTGACATTATTATAATGTGAGATGTGTCACTTACAAAAATACAGGTCGTCATCATCAAACACGTTCGTACAAATAAATACAGAAAATAAATCAAAGAGGATATGTATAATCTACACATTTACTGAAAATTTCATCAAATTCATCTAACTTTGTCACCCACAAATTGTATATATATATATACAATGACTGTAGTTATCAAATGGATGCAATTTCTTTCTTTTACTTGCAAGTTGTATTATTTTTCATTAATAGGAGATTAAATGCATTGTGGCAAATTGGAAATAAGGGTGACATTTAGAGAGAAAAAAAAAAAAATATATATATATATATATTATTAAGGTTAATAATAAAGACGTTAATATTTGCAACAGCTAAACAAAAATGTAGTCATTACAGTAGCTAGTCTCAATACAGTAGCTAATCAAACGATCTACAATTGTCCACAATCCTGTATCACAAGCTTTTTAGATGTTTGTCCGCTTTGCGAACCCACAGCTTCCATCTAAAACGAAACTTGGTAAGTCTATTTCAAATATTATCTGAAAAAAAAAAACAAAAAAATAACGTAGTTTTTACCTTCCTAACAACATCGATTCCTTCGATGACTTTTCCAAAGACAACGTGCCTGCCATCAAGCCAACTGGTCTTTCCACTAGTAATGAAAAATTGGCTACCATTGGAATCAGGTCCAGCATTCGCCATAGAAAGTGTACCAGTTTCCGTGTGTTTCAAAGTAAAATTTTCATCTTCAAACCTATTTCCATAAATTGATTTACCACCAGTGCCATTATGGTTAGTAAAGTCACCACCTTGACACATAAAATTAGGGATCACTCTGTGGAAGCTGCTATTTTTATAACCAAAACCTTTCTCTCCTGTACAGAGAGCCCTGAAGTTCTCAGCAGTTTTAGGAACTATGTCGGATCTCAACTAAAACAATATCATTAATATATTATACAATAAATAAATAAATATATATATTTATATATGTGTAATCCTAAATGAATTCATTGTTTACACTGGTACCTTACAAATGATAAAATACAAGGTGAAAAAAATCTTGATAATTTAATTACAAAGTTAAAATTATAATTTATTGTTATATCTTCTTATTTGATAACTGTAAAAAGAATGAGGAAAAAGAAAGGAAAAAAAAAGATCCTGATTGAAAAATGTTCATATGTATGTCAGCTGTCGTCTATCTCATCTTAATGACTATACAAATAAGGAAATAAATCTTATGAGGTATGAAATACTTTAGTGATTGAATAGACGAGTGGAAAATTTTATTATAATCTATGATAGGTACAAGGAAGGAAGTCAGGGTCGAGGAGAAGAAATAAATGACGAAAACATTGGAATAAGATAATTAATCAGAAGAAAAAAAAGAACGAAAAATTCCTAAATATTTTCAACACAAATATAATAAATAGATGATCATAATTAACAATGATAAGAAGAAAAACTTTAGATAGATTAATTAATAACCGGAAATAACGTTTTGATAATTAGAACCGGCTTTATAAGTAAAAAGCAAGATGGCCAACAACCATGCTGAAAATTTGCTAAGGAAATTTTCGCAAAGTAATAATTTGAGAATTTAATGGATACATTTTTTTCCTTACCTCCATGACGATACGGCCCAAGGGCTTATCGTCAGCAACTACGTCGAAATAAACTCTTGGCAAACTCATTTTCTTCGCAACTTTAGCAAAATTTCGCACAAACGTAACCGGGAACGCTCGACTCGGGCGGGCGGTGGCTCGCAAATGGCACGTATGGCTGAAAGTCAAATCAATTGACAGCCGGCAGATCGATCTCAACGCCATTTCTGTACGTTTCTATCTACGGAAATCGACATTAATAGGAACAATCTTACAATATTAATTCAAATTAATTCAATTAAATGATTTTTCAAACAAGCCCTTACTGTTTTTATCTATTATTGTGTAATAAAAATATCAGACAGTATATAAACGGTTATCGAAAAGATGGATGCACCACTCGTTTCGATTTCAACCAATCGAAATACGAGAATGTCAAATTTGTAATTTCCAAGTCAAACGACTTAACAATATATAAACAATTAAATAATAATTAATATACCTAAAAAATCTTAAATATGCATAAGAAATACATAGAATTAATATATATGCACTGGATTTTTTCTACAGAAATTTTTTAATAAAATAGGTTAGCATACTTATATAATTTGACATTATATAAGCTTGGTTGATAAAGTCAGAATCTGTAATACCATACGTACTCGCCGGTAAATACAAATTTCTACTTTATCAACTAATTCAAAATGAAAATCGAATAAAAAATCGAATTGTGTAATAGTAATAATAAAATAAAAACAATATGCAATATTTTCACATGTTTCTTTAGAAGCCAAAGGAAAAGTATCGAATAATAAATAAATCAGGATATTTAATACTGATGATATCGATATTGCTATATTCGTATCTTTTTTTCAATGTTTAAATAATAATTCAATTTAAATATGCGTATTATTATAAATGTTTTTGTTTAAATAATCCAAACGATTTGAAACTGAACATATTAATTGACATTAATAAAATAAATTGATATAGCTTTTGATTCTATTTGTAATCTAATCATGAAGTTTCTCAATTAAACATATTTATCCAATTTAGTTATCTGAATAAGTATGATATAGGATTCTCCATAAAAATCTATAGATATTGCAATAAGGGTTACTGTACATGTAGGTAATTAAGTTATCTCTATGAGCCAAGCTAATGCTCAACAAATAGGATTAATTATTAGTTTTAATACGATTACTAGGGCAGCAGGCTAGATACCTCTGTGGCTTCTTTTTCGTTTAGACAGAAAATCACTGCGTATTGTTCATCGTACAGTTGTTCATCGACAAGCTTTTCGTTTCTAACTGAGTACTCTTAATTTTTAGTATTCTCGAGTTTCCAGCTTCTTCTATAACAATTTCATTTTAATATTATTAATAATAAGACAAAATGGGTAAGGACGATCCAGAAACAGCAGCCTTGAAAAAGGAATTGGAGGATCTTATCAACAAGTGCAAGGTTTATTATTAATTCAAATTATTTCACATGTTGTCTGTTTCCTCTATTTCTCTCTTTTGTTTTTCTTGTTCTATTCATGGCAATTGTTTTTACAGGAGGATCAAAAGAAACAACAGGACACTACTTTAGAAGAAGCTTGCGCTAGCGTGGCTGATGCTCCAAAAGTCAAATTATCTACGAAGAAATTACTTAAAGGGCACATAAATAAGGTGAACTCGGTGCATTTCAGTGGAGACAGCAGGTCTGTAATAAATTCCGATAGTCACAATTATTATACAAATTAAACAGACACATATTTCCATCTACCATCAATAGATCTCATTTTGAATTTGTTGATTGTAGACATTGCGTCACAGGATCGTTGGATGGAAAATTAATTATTTGGGATTCCTGGACTGGAAACAAAGTACAAGTTATACCATTGCGATCAGCTTGGGTGATGTCGGTAGCTTTTGCACCATCTGGTAATTTCGTTGCTTGCGGTGGAATGGATAACATGTGTACCGTTTACGACGTTAACAATCGTGATTCTACCGGTTCTGCTAAAATTGTTCGAGAGTTGCTCGGTTACGAAGGATTTCTCTCGTCCTGTAGATTTTTAGAAGATAAAAGAATTATTACTGGTTCTGGCGATATGAAAATGTAAAAATATATCTTATGATTTTCATTAGGCCTTTTGTTTATCTTCTTACTAAATGTCTCATCTTATTATTCGTTATTGAATTTCAGTTGTATATGGGATCTCGAAGCAAATAAAAAAACAACAGATTTTTGTGCACACGCAGGAGACGTTGTTAGCATAAGTCTTTCACCAGATGGTAACACTTATGTAACTGGTTCAGTCGACAGGACTTGCAAACTTTGGGATTTGCGAGAGGAGACTGCTAAACAAACGTTCTTTGGACACGAAGCTGATGTTAATTCCGTTTGCGTAAGTAATTATAATTAAAATTATTCTTGATTTTGTTATAATGACTCTTAATCTAATTGACAAATATTTGTACAGTATCATCCTTCGGGAAATGGTTTCGTAACAGCATCAGAAGATAAAACTGCTAGACTGTGGGACTTCAGATCCGATCAACAATTAGCAACATTCAAACCACCAAATTCAAATCCAGGATTTACATCATGCGGATTATCGCTCAGTGGTAGATTCATATTTTGTGGAAGCGACGATAATTCTATTCACATATGGGATACCTTGAAGAATCAACATAATGGTAAATGAATTATTTATCTGTATAAAACAAATAGTATATTATTCACCTAGGAAGGTAAAGTAAGAAATGTCTCAGAGCACAATTACATGCGCTCTGAGACATTTCTTATTTATCGCTCAAGGTGAGTAGACTTTTTTTCTACTAAATAGTTATTACTACTATTAAGAAAAATTGTATAATTGATTTTTTGTTTGTCTTATATTTTAAAGGTGTTCTATCAGGTCATGATAATAGAGTAACATCGCTCAGTGTTACTAACAACGGTATGGCAGTGGCCAGTTGCTCTTGGGATCAAAATGTTCGAATTTGGGTATAAAAATTAATTGAGAGATAAATAGTTATTGCCAGTGCTTACAACGAAAAAAAGAAATAAGATCATAAATACGAAAAAAAAACAAATTACTAAGAGATTCGAAAAATAGAAATTATTAACAATTTGAAATTGTTTGATAATTGCACATACATATTCTTGAAAGATACAATAACGATTATTTTCAGAGTTCTTGTTACGATCAAAATAATTTACAAAGTAATCGATCGATAATAGGTGTGTTTATGTTTATACCAAGAGAAGAAACTACATTTCTTATAATTTAGTTTAATAATTTAGTTAATTTCGTGTACTAATCAATACATACATATAAATATTTGGTGACTTTTAGAAGAAGAAGAAGAAGAAGAAGAAATATAATTTATGTTATAACGCATTAATAAGTTTTAACATTTCTAATACAAATGACCATTTATAGAATTTCATTGACAAAATTTAAATGTCCTAAGTGAAAACGTTTAATACTAATCGTGTGTGTTTCCATGCGAAACGCGCGTATTTTATATATATATATATATTTATTTAATCACAAAGTGGAACAATTTAACGATCATTATTAAAATAAAAATGAAAAAAAAAAAAAAATAAGAAAAAAACAATATATAATTAGAGAAATAATTTGAATCGTGAAAAGGAAATATTTTTAAATGAAATAAAATGAAAAAAGAAATATTTTCAAAGTATATTCGTATCAATTCGTAATTTGTAGAAATATTCTTGTTGTGATGATAAAAAATTGCAATAAAAAAGTACATTTGGAATAAAATTACTTTCTCGTTTTGTTTCTTATGAGTAGATAAAAATATATATATATATATATATCGTTTAAAATAAATCATTCGATATTGTAATGATAAAATTGTCATTGTCTTTTTTTTCTTTTTATTATTTCTACAACGTGCACATTACACGAATCTTCAAATCAATGCTGCAGAATATTGTGTATTTTGAAGAAATATATTGTATTGTATTATTTAGAAATGCAATTCATTAAGATTTGGTGTTTATTAGGCGCGAAGCACAGAAGTCAAAAATACTTTGCCCCATTTTGGACATATATATATATATAGGAAACTTATTGTGCAAATATATCCATATGGAGATTTTCTTTTGTATAAATTTCAAACCTAGGCCACCGGCTATGTTGATGCCGAAAAAAAAAAATCATTTCTAAATATAATAAACGTATATATTATTAATTTATAGAGCTTCATTTTTGTTTTTGTTTGTTTGTTTGTTTCTTTCTTTCTTTTTTTCAATAACTTAATAAATAGTTAGTGTTAAAATAATTAAAATTCTTAAGTTATTCTCTTTTCATATAAGATAAAATTGATTGCAAGTAGGTATACAATATATATATAATGTGATTTATATTATTAATGTCACAACATAAATGCATGTCGTAACTTCGACGGAATCGAATATTGATCTTTAATTTTTTTTATTAAATTGTTGCATCACGACGGTATTTATGTACACCGATAGTTCTTCACACTGAAAATAAAAATGTTCTTCGTATATTCGACAAAAATGAATAAAAAATTGAGATACTTCCGAAAGAGAAAATGAATTTAAAATCCATCAAGATGTATCAGCAAAGCTACCATTACAGTAGCACCAGCTTCTTTGGTAGCCCATTTACTAGATTCAAATTGTGATTCAATATCATCCTTTCCACTGGTTCCTATCGTGTATGAACCAGGTTTTACCAATAATTGAAATGCAGTTGATGCATTCAGTTTTTTATTTGATCGATGATCGATGTATCTGTATATACAATTATTATTACTGTTATTTTAAGTAGTAAATACAGGATGTATATTTTGAGATTTACTTACGGATATTTTTTCACGAATTCTTCCGATGCTGCATAATTTATATTTGGTGAAAATATTACTTGAGGATTTTGAACTTCATTTTTCATGCATATTAAATTACTCGCATCTAATTGTTCCTTTGTCATAAGTTCACCTCTATCGAGTATTAATCTGAAAACAAAAATATATATTTTGTTAGTAATTACAACAAAAAAAAGGAATAAAATAAAATATTCTTATTGCAGAGACCTTATTGCATCTAGCCGTATTCCATAGAAAGCAACGTGCCATTTATCTGTAGTACTTTGTGGAATTTGATTTGCATTGATACTTTGTTTTAAAGGAAATCTTGCCCAACCAACAGGCAATGCAAATTCTGCTGGTGGTTCACCCTTTTTGCAAATAGCATTATCTCCTTCGGTTTTATAACAACCACTGCAGTAACATAATGCATCGTCAAGCGTAAAAAACTCGTCCGGTAATACGAGTGACTTTTTAAGTCTCATGCATGCTTTTAAATATTCGCATTTCTTTGTGACCGATGAAATACTTCCAGGAGTACATGGCAATGAAATATTTTGTATTGATGGCATCGTATGATTATTTGTCATGTTGTTCTGATTTGAAGATAATACGCTATTGTTACAATTATCATTCGTTAATGTAACATTATCCCAATTATTATTAGAGTGTAATTCATGAAAGCTTGAAGAAGTATTATTTGATATTTCTGTTGATGAATTATCCAATACAGTTGGTGCAAGATTTTGACAAGAAAACGAACCATTTTGAGAAGTACTCAAAATATTAACTGGTACATTGTTCTGACTTGTAGTTATGTTAACAATTTGACTATTTGATGCTATACTTTCGTTGATTGCATTATTAGCGTTGTTTGAATTAATAGCAGAATTCAAATTAGTAATATTTGTAGCGCTAGTAGTCGTGCCATTCTTAATATTAATATTTGTTGCATTGTTTATTTCTACATTTGTACATTCATTTCTAATATTTAAAACGTTTGAAATAGCTCGATATTCCGTATGTATATTAGTTTCATTCGAATTATTTTCCGATTGATTATTATGCAATATTGCATTGTTATCATTTATTTGACTCGAATCTTCTGTGCAATTTTTACTTTTGCTACTTTTTGCTTCGTTCTCCTCATCTGAGTCAGATTCTATATTATTAAAGTTGGAAACACTCGACGATGCTTTATTTTCTTCAATGTCGTTTACCAGATTCGTATCATCGTTTCTATTTGATACAGCAGAATAATTTCCATCTTTCGTATGCGAACTACATTGACTGGGTATACTCGGAGAAGTTGACAAAGAAATATCCGATGATGTAGCTGGAATTGCATTCTCTTTTTCGTGACATTCCAAATCAGCTTTCTCTCGAGAATTTTCAACGTCGTCCAATTCTGTTCTTATACATTCAGTAGTAGATGGAATTGTACTGTTATCGACAACAACTGAATTTGTATACATCTGATCTGTTCCTGCTATTGAAACTTGTTCACATTGGCCATATAAATCAATCACAGCATAGACATAAGGTGATATATCTGTTGCAGCTATTCCCTGATCTACACTATTAATATATAAGTGCAGTCTACCGTCTTCATCGATTAATAAACCTACTGTATCGTTGCACTGTAAATTTTCTAATGCGTAACCATATTTCGTTTTAACCTAAATGAATTGGAAAATGTTTACATACATCATAAATCAAAAATATAAAAATACTTTCAATATAATGTCAATGTTATACTAATGATCATTACCCTCATGCCATTATGAAAAATCCAATCACTACAAATAATCCATGAATGTTTTTTAAAACCAAGTGCTGTCAATGGAAAATTAGCTTTCTCTGGTGCAATACAAGTAACGCCACAAAGCATATTTGATACCCATCGTTCGTTCAATTTTTCAATCTTTATTTGAAATAGTTTGCCTTTTATTAATGGACGACTAGACATTACTACACCTGTAAAATATTATTGTATAAATCATAAATAATCTGTTTAAATATCTTTTACAGTATTCTTAGTACTTTGATACCTTGATTATAACTAGCAACTCTTCTAGCAATTATTTTTCTATCCAGTTCAATATTTCTACCATGGTTTTCATGAAATTCGTAATTCCAATTCGCTTCTCCATTTAAGTAATTTACTGGTTGTGTTGGAGTAACTGTACTATCATTAACTAATTTTCCTTCAGATATATCGACTGATGTATCCATTCCTGCATCACTATAAAAAAATTAAAATGTCATTATTCATATATAAATCAATATTACGTAATATTATTCTTAAATATTATCAAACTAACTTTTTGATAACAGGTGGCATGGGATCTAACAATAATTCCAAAGAATCTTGTAATCTCAAACTTGCATTAGGAGATATTGCTGTATTTTGATGTTTGCTACTTGTAATTTTAATTGAAATAGTACTTCCAAAAAGTTCAATTATTGCATATACCATTTCAGGCACATTAGATGCAGCTATTCCCATATCCTCTCCATTAATATAAAACTTCAAATTACCATCATGCGTTCGTTTCATTCCTATTTTATCACCAACACAAAGCCATTCCAAACTTGGACAATAATTTGGACAAAGAACATATCCCGAATGTCTTACTTCATTTCCTAAATATGTACAATTGATGTAATGTAAAATGGTTAATACAAAAAAAGGTTTACATTTACTGAGATAACTTAAATCGTGAATTTTCTACTTGCCTGTTATATACCAAGCATTTGTTGGTATAGAAGTTATATCAGATAAACGATTGGCAGGTTTAAACCAATTACCAGATTCATTGCTTATAACTCCTATCCTTAAACAACCACTCCATTCAATGTCTATTTCTTGAATAGCAATTTCAAATATTTCATTATTGTCTAAAGGAGTTTCACTTAATAATACAGCATTGTTAAATTCTCTATTTCTTGTTGCCACTGTCTTTTCGTTATTTATTTGTATATTTGAGCCAACAGATGGATGAAATTTATGCATAACTTCTGTTTGAGCTTGCGGTTGAATAACAGATGTTGGTTGTTGACTGGTACTATTCTCCGAAGGAATGTATTGCTGTGTTAATGGATCTCTACGTTCTGGTAATACAATTGTAACCTAAAGAACAACGAAATGATTTTATTTTATTAATGTTTGTAAGTTCATTCATTAAAGTCATTTTTATATACGACTTCATTTCAGTCTTATACCTGTACACATTGACCATATAAATTGATCACAGGATAAACATGTAAAGGTAAATTTGTACATGCTGGACCTTGATCTACACCATCTAAATAATAATGCAAACTTGTATCTGCAGATCGCATCATACCAATACGATTTCCTTCCACTAGGAAATCTAAATCACAAGCATAATTGTTACGCAATGTAATACCGTCCCGTATTACAGCGGAACCGGAAAGCATCCAAATATCGTGATCAATATCCGTCATTGTAGATGGAAATTCCAATTCATCTGGTCTGATAAGTGTAACCCCTGGGAGATTTTCCTAATATTAATACAAGGAAGGCAGCTACACTTTTATGATACTCAAATGTAAATAGATTATTTATTAAATGAACAACTAAAAAAGCTTCTATATTATTTCAAAAGATTACCTGCTTCTATAGCTCCACACCAACGATCTACCATTTTATCAATGGTTACTTCAAACATTTCACCCTCGCGTAAAGCACGATTTGCAATAACTATAGCTTCATTGAATTCACCTAAAGCTCTTGGTCTGGATGCTGTTAAACCATTATTTGTAATACGTGCATTTTTTCCATGAACATAGTGAAATCTCAAATCGCTATTAAAATAAAGATACAAGGTAGTATACTCTGCTTTTATACAAAGAAATATAAATGTTCTGTTTATGATTATATAATAATAATTATAAAATAACAAACCTGTATAAAGTTGTATTACTGAAACTAGAATTATTTGTTGTAGGACTGTAAAAATCAGCGGTATCCACAATAGTTGCTTGTGCAGCTTGTCCATACAGATCTATAACACCATAAACTTTTTCTGGTACACTCATTGCAGCTGCACCTTGATCCGCACCATTTACATAAAAATGCAATGTAGCATTTTCTTTTCGCATAACACCAACACGATCGCCAACTTGTAATCGATCTAAATTTTGTCCATATTGATCAATCATAGTAGTTCCATTGTGCATGACACCATTTCCTGTCATCATCCAAGTACCTGATCTGTAAGAGACATTATTTGCTGTGTATAAAAGTGTTTTCCTTGCATATTACTTATTCCCCACATTTACATATACAGGGTTTGGTCAAATAACATGCATAAATGAATATAATAAAATTGACATGTAGAATGATATTATTTGTAAATTGTCATACATATACCTAACATTAGTCATTGTATAAGGAAATTCCAATTCAGTTGGTGAATGCGTTGTCACACCTATTTCAATAGAACCTGCCCACTTAGACACAATTTTATCTAATTTCACCTCAAATAATTCATTTGGTTTTAACGGTCTTGAAGTTAATACTACACCATTATTAAAATCATCTATGGCACTAAAATGAAGATAATTATAAAAGAATTCTATAATTTTTGTTAATGAGATAAATAAACTCATGCATGTATTACTTAGGCCTATGTGCTGTACGTCCGTTATTAATGACTTCAGCATGTGTTCCACAACAAGAATGGAACATGAGTCTATCAGGTGGTTCTTCTTCTGGTTCTACAAAGGAATGCATAAATTGTCTTCCTCGCTGATAAATGAATGCACGTTTATATGTATCCCATCAAAACTATGGTGGTAGGAGAACCAATTAAGGATATTACATAAATCACAAAACAAGGATACTACTGTCTTTACCGTTCAATCCTTGTAATTGCAAAGTGTTACGTCTCGTGATTAAGTTCTGCTCTTCCCTTTCATCTCGATCAACAATAGTCACCTTTACAGTCATTCCATAAAGATCGATAACACCCCATACACCTGCTGGTACTTTGGCAGCAATTCCTTGATCTAATCCATTAATTAAATAGTGGAGATTACCATTACTTTTTCTTATCATTCCTACCCTATCTCCTTCCTAAAGCAACAAACATAATAAGAAAGAATATTGTTAATGCATCGATGCCAGATGACATGCATTATTATTCAACTGCAGTTCCAAACATTCCATTGCAAATGTGTACTTACTCTCAATTCATCTAAATTGAATTCTCCATATTCACGCTGAGTGCCTTTCCCATTAGTTAAAATACCACATCCAGACATCATTGTTGTACCAGATCGCATATTGGTCATTGTTGCAGGAAATTCTAATGCAGTTGGACTATGAGTTGTAACTCCAACTTCTATACTACCAGACCATTTATAAACAAGTCTATCTATACGTATCTATAATAAATCAAAACATTATTTTGTAATATATTTGATTAATACCTTTTTTTTTATTATTTCATATTTTTCTAAGCTCACCTCGAACAATTCGTTATCTCGTAATGGCCTATGTGTCATTACAACACCATTATTGAATTCATCAATTGGTCTCCGCCTTTCAGCTGTTCTTGCATTATTAGACAATTTAACAAGCATACCCACTCTTTCATGGAACCTTAAACGATCTTCTCTAATAGCAGCGGGACTTGGATTTTTCGGTAAACTAACATTTACATTAACATTTAAATTAACATTCAAGTTAGCGACTAGATTGGTTGTTGATGAATTAGATGATCCACCAAGAGGGTAATCGTTATTAATTTCAACCTCTTCCTTGACTTCATTACTGACAGGTAAAAGACGTGGATGGGTAATGGTAACTTGAACACAATCACCATACATGTCTATAACTGCAAATAAACGCTCTGGAATGTTGGTTACTGCAATGCCTTGAGAAACTCCACTAATGTAAAATACAAGTTCGTTCTATAATTAAAAAAACAATCTAATTATAGTAATTTATAATTTGCAATATCAAAAGCATTAAATAGAAAGAATCATACATTAGACGTTCTCATTACACCCAAAGTACTTCCCACTTCCAGACTACTAAGATCTGTACCATATAATTCTACTATTCGTTCACCATCATGGACTATACCGGAACTAGTCATAATCCAAGATCCATGGCGAAGATTGGTAGCGCAAGCAGGTAATTCAACAGTTTCAGGATCACATTCTGTCACTCCGATCTCTATACTGCCACTCCATGATGTCATCTGTGATGATAAAAAATTCTTTAAATACATCTATACAAAATATTTATATAAATACATATATCTACAATAAAATATTGATTATTATTTGAAATAGTAATAAATAAAATCTTTTTAAACAAATAACATTAACAAATATAAAACATAAACAAACGCGACATTTGACAGTTGCAGTTCCTTCATAGTATATCAAAAATTGATCTGTAAGGCAATAGTAATACGTGGTCATACCTTTTTATCAATACGAACTTCGAACATCTCATCATCCTTAAGAGGCACAGCACTAAATACCAATCCATAATTATATTCGGAATAACTTCGAATTGCTGTGCAATTATTATTTGTTAAAGTAACACGATGACCGGCTCGACGATGAAACATGTCGACCATTTACTGTGTCTATGAACCGATGCATAGCATATACATATGTAAGCTAGATTTGACTATCATATACATAACCCTATTCGCGTGCAATTGGCGGTCAGAATAATCGACGCTTATTGGTTAAACGTGTTATTGGATAAACCAATGGCATGCAAGGTTTAGTTGTGCGGGCTTTCTAGATAAGTTTAAACTTTAGATATTGTTCTTTGATTCTTTTAACTATAGTTCTAAAACCTAGAGAAATTCTAGTTTTAAAAAGTGAAAGAAAAAGAAGCATGAAATATGTATAATATGTAGAAATTTATTTTGAATCGGTCCTAGGGTTTATTTCATTGATTTAATCTGTTCTTCGTAAACCATCTCGATGATACACCAGTATAGGTAAAACAGCAGTGCGACAGAATGTATATAATACTATTTCTAACCTAATATGCATATCAAATTACAAGAATAAATAAATAACAATGGAATAAAAAGGAGAAGAGAATAATAAATAATTTTAAATTGAATATTTTATTTGAAAATATCTTTACACACAATAATATTCTCATAATTATTCTTTTTCTAATAAAAATATATGATTTTTTATTGTTTCTTTAATGGAACGATGCCAAAGCCACCTAACGGACGAGGTCATGCATTTGCTTGCATTTGACCAAGCGCAGTTTTAGGATCTATTTGTGAACACATTGAGGAATAGTAGTATATAGTAAAATTCGGTTCTGCAGAAAAGAAGAAAAAAAAATGGCGAACATTCGCGAGTGAGGAATGAATCTGATGGTGAAGGTATTGACGACGAGACAGAGCACTTGTTAAATATCGTATGTGAAAAGATTTGGATGAAGGATTTTTCTTCGTTATTGTTAAACGTATAACATTAAAGAAATAATTCGTGTTTTTAGGAAAAAGGAAAAACTTTGTAGACGCAAATAAAAACTATTTGCCAGCACGTTGATTGCGAAACGTCATAAAACAATTCATACGAATCGAACGAGTTCGTAGTGCAAGACGAATAACTTTTTCATTTATAAAGGTTATCTCTCTCAAATGCTGCATGACAAATAAATGTTAACAAAATGGATAATGTATCGAAGGATTCATCGACCTCACATTATACTTCGTGGTGATTTGATTTAATTTTTATTTTAAAGGGACATTTTATTCATCAATAGCGTCAGGTAAGTCCACTAGTATATAAAGGTTATAAATAATTTCTTTCATGTATTCTATCTTTTATGTCTCTATTTACACAGGCATATAACAATTTTTAATGTTTACGTTCGATTGTAGCAGTCAGTCCTGTTCGATTTGTTGCATCTAATGTTTCTTTTTTTTTTTTTTTTTAATTCTATTCATTATTTATTTATGTATCAAATCGTATCATTTACATTAATATTTTTTAGCAGACCTACAATGAGTGTTACAAAATGCAGAGCAGAATAATGCAACGATTATCAATATATATATACATTTTCTAATATCGATAGCTATATATACTTTGGGTAAATAGAATAAATGTTTTTTTTCGTGTTTTTTTTTTTTCTTTTTCTTTTATATTTGATATCTTTTTCTCCAAATCTTTCTTTGATATTAATGAAATTTTAACATCTGTTATAGAAATGTTAAACATTGTCATAGAAAATATAAATATATAATCTATTAAGAATATAATATACATCAATATTTTCTTTTTATAGATATATGCTAACAAACCAAAAAATGGATCAAGAAACGGTATATGGTACACATGAGGACAGTCATGTTGTCATGTCAGAGAAAGTTCAGTCTTTGGCAGGCAGTATTTATCAAGAATTTGAAAGAATGATTGCAAGATATGACGAAGATGTTGTAAAAGACCTAATGCCTTTGCTAGTCAATGTTTTAGAATCTTTAGATGTATCTTATACAGAAAATCAAGAACGCGAAGTTGAATTAGAATTATTAAGAGAGGATAATGAACAGCTAGTTACGCAATATGAGAGAGAAAAACAACTGAGGAAAACATCTGACCAGGTAAAATGTTTCTTTTTCTGTATTTATTTTTATATTATTTACTTTCAACGAATGCTAGTGTTTTGATTTAAAAATGTATGTAGTTGTTGTTTAAATAATATAATTAATGTTTTTATCTTGTTCTTTAGAAATTGCTCGAGTTGGAAGATGTTGCAGAAGACGAAAGGAAAGAATTATTATCCAAAATCGACAGTTTAGAATCAATTGTAAGGATGCTGGAGAAGAAAGCTAAGAATTCACAAGACCACGGTACAATTGTCTATGGCTCTTCCAGTACATCCCCTCCTAGAACATCTTACAGTAGAGTAGAATATTTTGTTTTTTTTTTGCCATATCAAAATTTCATCTTATGGTATTCAAAATACTTTTCACATGCTTCTTTATTACAATAAGCAATTTATTATAATCATCATCATCATCATCATTAAGTTATTGACAAGTTAATTTTTATTTTATAATTTGTAATATATTTAAGAAAATGTCTTTTTCAAATCCTGTAGAATAGACTCCAATGTGTTGATGTCCTTTTTTTTTTTTCTATTGTTTGATTTTTATATACATTATTTTTGTTAATAATATATTATTTATATTTTTAGTGGCACGTCTTGAAGAAAAGGAAGTTGAACAGAAACGTGAATACACACGTATACATGACAGATATACAGAATTAGTTAGGACACATTTAGAGTACATGGAGAGAACAAAAATGTTGGTTGGTAGTACGGAAAGATTAGAAAATGCGTCCGGTGGTCGGGGTCCACCAAAATATCTTTCTCATGATTTAGCACATATGTCAAGAAGCTCTGGTCCTTTAAGTTATGGATTTCAAAGTTTAGAAACTAATACGAATGCAGAAGTACTTTTAGACGAAAGTCCACCAAATGCTGCTGCTAATAATTTAAGAACTGAAATGTCGGATAATAGTAGCGAAGCTGCAATAGAAACTTCTGACAAAAGTCAATTAACCGATCAGCCTGTACAAGAAAATAAGACTACTGCAATTTCAAGACGTATGTATAATCATAATATTTGAAATATAACTTTTATTCTATTTATATGTATTTATGTATATGTATATATTTGATCTTTTTTTTAATTATAGGTGAAAGTCCTGAGACTGAATTACCCTTTCCAGTAATACCATCTACACCAAGTGGAATAGAGAAATTAGTAACAACACCAAGTGGTGGTAGAACTAAAACTGAAAGAGAACAGAGAAGTGGTAATACGTTGTATCAAGAACTTAGTTTCCAAGATGCAGATGCATTAGGTGAAATAGATGAAGGTGCAGATATTACAGGTAAAACATAGAAACTACTGAATGTTTATACTTATAATACAAGTGTGTAATTAACCCATTATTATTATTAATCGCAGGTAGTTGGGTTCATCCTGGTGAATATGCATCATCGGGTACGTTTAACAAAACATTACAAATCCAATATAAATTTGGTTATGTGTATTCATTTCATCTAAATTCTAACAATAATAAAATGTCAATGTTCTTTTTAATTATAAAAAACAGATTTGTATACAATCTTATGATAAGTTAATGTTGTTAACATTGACTTTATTAAAATCAGTTTAATGTTTCATGTTTAAAAAAGAATGAAGTAAATAATTTGAAAGAGCATTGTCAAAGTAAATAACTTATATTAAAACCATAATCATTTGAAGAGCATAGAATTTATTCTAAAACTTGTTACTTTAATTAAGAACCTTAATAACAGAAGTATTATTTCCTAATATGTCTGGATGTTTCATCCATCGCTTGCATTTTCACACTATGCTGACTCCTACTGAAACTCTGATGAATGATGCATGCAATATATAATCTAATTCATGCAGTCAATGACAACTTTTATGGTAAGCTATTTATCTTTTTATCTGTCGTATATTTATTCATTTAGAAAAAGAGATATTAGGAAAACAAAATGATTTATTTATATCTTAAATGTTTCTTTCTACTTCGTATGTAGTATTATTACTAAACGCTTTTTTATAATATTAAATTTAATGTATATTTATATTTGAAATAATAATTTCTATTGTTTAGGAATGGGAAAAGAAGTGGAGAACCTTATTACGGAAAACAACGAGCTGTTAGCTACTAAGTAAGTTATTTTATATTATTGATGAAATATTGAATATGTAATAGAGAAAACGTTTTAATAATAATGTTATTATTTTTATTATTCAGAAATGCTCTTAACGTAGTTAAGGATGACTTAATAGTTAAAGTGGATGAACTGACTAGGTAACTAATTTCAATTCCTAAAACATTCAATGTTCTTTTATTTCTATATATTAATTAACGTTATTAATATACTTTTTTACAGCGAACAAGAAATATTACGCGAGGAGGTTCGTGGTTTGCAACAAACCAAGGATCGATTGCGTCAACGTATTGTTGCTCTTGAAGAAGAATTAAAGAAAGTTAAAGAGGATGCTGAGGCTGCTGCGAAAGCTGCTAAAAGCGATGACGAAGAGGACGTTCCATTAGCTCAAAGAAAAAGGTTTACTAGAGTGGAAATGGCTAGAGTTCTCATGGAAAGAAATCAATATAAGGAAAGATTTATGGAACTTCAAGAAGCTGTAAGGTGGACTGAAATCATTAGAGCTAATAAAATTGATCCTTCCAATACATCAGGAGGAAAGGGCTCACAATTTTGGAAGTTGTTAGTATCAGATAATTAAGAATTATCTATTAACATATATTAAACATGTATAATAATAGAAAGACATAACAAAGCAATATATATTTTCGTCTTTTCTTTGTAGTTTTAGTAGTCTCTTCACAACAACTGATCGTGGGAATTTAGTACGCGGAGCACATACATTACCTCATTTTCGCTACAGTGCACCAACAAATCAAGTTGTTCCAGCAGTGAGCACCATGCATAAACATACGAAAAATCGTCATGACTTTCTCGACCAAGGAGACACCATGTGAGAAATCAATCCTATTTCTATATACATGCACCTTGATGTTATGTCAATCTGACATCACAGCCTGCCTGATTTCTATCTATTATTTAGATACAAATTTATTATTTATTGAGTATTCAGCTTTCTATATCATAAAACATCAATCTTAATCTGTGATTTATCGCGCAATGAATGTTTTAATACAAGTGCACAATTATGGAGCTTTATATATATATATATATATACACACACTTTGATACTACTATATATCAAAGCTGCCATAATAATTTACTTGTAGTAAAATTACTTTTTTATAGAACTTTTTGGAAAAGTAATCTCTCTTCCCAAATGGGAAATAACTATTATTGAATGAAATGCGGTCATCTTTCAAGATTAGAAATCCTCTTTGGTCTATTGGGATTCATAATGTTTTCTTACTCCTTTGCAAAATAGTATTAATTGTTTTTAAAAGAGACGTGTGTAAGTCTTCTCTGTATAATTTCGAATTTAAACTGACCAATTTGAACATAATATTTGCCGCTAACATAATATCATGTTCCGTTTTCCTTTTTTTTTTTTTTCTTTTCTTTTATATTTATTAAATGAATTATCTTGAATTACAAATTTTCGAGATAATTTTTTTTTTTTTTTGACACAATTAAGACATCAATTTTATACAAAAGAACCACACCCCTTATATTTCTTAAATATATTATTATTATTTATTTATTTTTTTCTGTTTGCTAGACTTAATCCTTTTTTTTTTCTTTTTTTTCTTTTTTTCTCAAAGTCTAATTTCCTAGTCTTCATTACAAGTAACATATTTGTAAAGTACGTATACCAATTTTTATGTGATTTACACTTACAATTAATAAAATAACTTGCAAATGATAAAAGTATAATAACTAATGAGGTAAATTGACTGTTACCATTCTAGAATATGCTTACAAAGCTATAGTTTTGTATATAAGAGTTTGTATATTTTTTGGAAAATTGATATAATATATATATATATATACATAATATATATATATTCGATCGTTATTGATCGGTGAATAAATGAAGTTATGAGTATGTTAAACTTGGCTTTTATTTCGATGTCGTTACTTCGCTTTTGTCTCATTATTCGGGTTTTCTTGCCTCACCTTCATGGCGTTATCAAGAGATTCCTGGTTTTTCTGGCTTTCATTGGGGTGCTTATTGGTCAGCAGGTAAATCTGTTCTGCTATATTCTTAACTTTTCTGCTTTGACACACCACCTGTATTCTGATTTTGTGAGAGATGGTCTTTTGGCATGAATATTTTAAACCGAGACAATGTCTTCCATCATCTTTTCTTTAGATTTAAAAATCGTTCCAAAAAATTGAATGTGAATGAAAATATTTCAATACGTTTATCTAGAAGAAATGTATTATAATAATAATAATAATAATGAAATACTATAAGTATTTCTAAAACAGGAAGAAGAAATATTAATAATAATAATAATAATAAAATGAATCTTGATAAAACCAGATATTGTGGAAACGAAAATTAATCAGAAATGAAACATTTTTCAACTCATGCGATTCCTCAATCCCTTGCATTAATGCTTGTATTGAAAATGTATTTTCAATGCATTTTTTTGTGCATATAAAACGTACTTACAGATCATCTGAAAAGCTCGTTGCCCGACGAGCAAATGAACGAAGAGAACAATATCGTCAAGTCAGAGCACACGTTAGAAAAGAAGATGGTCGATTACAAGCTTACGGATGGAGTTTGCCAGGAAAGCCAATAGCACCAGTAAGACAACCTGTACCAGTACCAGTATATTGTAGGCCTCTTCAAGAAACAGAACCAGGAATGAAAGTGAGTGCATTGTGTTAACATGTTAGACATTTGAACTAACTCTAACTATACTCAATTTTCTTTCTATAGATTTGGTGTGGTGCTGGTGTCAATTTAACGGGAGGTAAAACACCAGACGGTGGTTGTATGATTGGGGGAAGTGTATTTTATGCAGCTGAAGCTTCAGAAACAAATACAATTAAAACAGAAGCTGAAGATGCAGTTGAACATTTAGACAATGAACTTCAAGAGAATGAAAAACGTATATTAGAGGCTGAACAATTGGAACAGAAACTCAGTTCTTTGGTTTGGATTTGCACATCAACTCAAAAAATGTCCAAAGTTACAGTTATAGATGCTAATAATCCAGCAGATATCTTAGAGGTTTTCAGTGTTTGTCAAGGACATTTACTTTCCATTGCTAGTGTACCAGGTGCCATGGAAAGTGATTATCCTAAAAATTCGAAGGAAAATTTAACATATAAACTTAATAATAAAAATAATAATAGCATGGATAATAATAATCATCACGATGAATCGATTATAATTGAACATGTTGATGAAAATGAGCAGAAAAATCAGCAAGAAGCGTCAACCTCTGCTGAAAATAATAAAACGGAGAATGGCAATTCTGTGGATGAACAAAATGGTGAAATTGTTGACAAAAATAAAGATACTGATCAGAATTCAAACGCTGGACCTCAAAGTTTGGAAAGTGTAGATAGCGAAACGGCAAATTTAGGAAAGGTTTATTTTATTAAATGCAATTCAGAAATAGTTAACGACGAATTAAATTGCAAAGAGAATAAAAATGAAGAAGAAGAAGAAGAAGGAGAAGAAGAAGTAGAAGTAGAAGAAGATAAGGAAATAGAGGAAAGTACACCTATTGAAAAAATGTCATCTATACAATCAACTATGTGGCTGGGAGCTCAAAATGGTGCTGTTTTTGTACATTCGGCTGTTGCCAAATGGTCCGTTTGTTTGCATTCTGTAAAATTAAAGGATGCGGCTGTAGCTATCGTGTACGTTAAGTTTTTTTTATTATATATATGATTTACAAATAATAGATTGATCAATGTTATTTCATCTGTAATTAAATTATTGTCTGTATTATTTTATAGACACGTTCAAGGTCGTGTCCTGGTTGCTTTGGCTGACGGAACCGTGGCTTTGTTCCGAAGGGGTGCAGATGGTCAATGGGATCTTTCTCAGTATCATGTTATTACCTTAGGAAGTCCGCAACATTCGATTAGATGTATGTCTGCTGTTAGTGGAAAGACTGTGTGGTGTGGATATAGAAATAAAATCCATGTGATAGACCCTATTAGAATGACTGTTGAAGTAAGGATTTTAAATCAATGTGTTATTAATAACTAATGAACATATAAAATAATGTAATGTTTCAGTGCACCGTCGATGCTCATCCTAGAAGAGAGTCACAAGTAAGACAATTGGCATGGTTAGGTGAAGGCGTTTGGGTTAGCATTCGATTGGATTCGACATTAAGACTCTATCATGCGCATACTTATCAACATCTACAAGATGTTGACATAGAACCTTATGTCAGTAAAATGCTGGGCACAGGAAAACTCGGATTTTCTTTTGTACGAATCACAGCTTTATTAATTTCCTCAAATAGATTGTGGATAGGTACTGGAAATGGAGTGATAATCTCAGTACCACTGTCCGAGAGTACGTTAAAACTAAATAATATATATATATATATTTGATTTATTATTATATTATTCGTATAAATCTATTTATACATCATATTACATACTATTTGTATAGGTGCTGGTGGTTCAATGGCAGTATCCAGAATTCAAACAGGAGCTAATAAAGGTGATGCACCAGGAATTGGTGTTAGAGTTTTTGCATCGGAACGAGGAGTTTCTGTTGGAAGTTTTATACCATATTGTAGTATGGCCCATGCACAATTAAGTTTTCATGGACACAGGGATGCTGTTAAAATGTTTGTCGCTGTGCCTGGTAAGTTTAAGTATCATGATATTATTAATGTAACAATTCTAATATGTAAAATGTATAGGTCACGGTGGTCAAAGTGCTGCAACCGATGGTTCACAGCCTGCAATGCTTGTCTTATCTGGAGGCGAAGGTTACATCGATTTTAGAGTTGGTAAGTAAACGTTATTTGATACATTATGTATTTAATATAACGTAAGTTTTCTTTAACTATTAGCTATCTATCTAAATGTAATCTATGATAATGACAATTTTAGCAGAAGAAGCAGAAGACGAAAGTGATGTGGCGACTCATCTTATTGTTTGGCAATTGGTCAGGTATGCCCCCAGAGAGAGAGAGAGAGAGAGAAAAAAAAAGCAAAACAATATTTTTATTTCAGCATATGTTAATATATCGTATTTTAATAACCCCCTCGGTTATGACATCCTATACTAACAGGTCATTCCTTTCTTCTGTTGCACTATATAACGAAATTTAACTAACATTTCTGGCTGGTTGCATATTTATTCATTACCAATTAAAAAGTGTGTATTATAAATAATACTTTAATGAACTTTAAATATGATGATAAATTGCTTATCATCATATAGCCAAATCTGTTGCTTCACTTTATCAAAGAATTATTATTATCATCATCACTGTTGTTTCTGTCAAAAACTGTATAGGATAAATTTATATCTGTTGCCTTTATTCTCTGGGGGTGGTCCTTTCCAACTGATATGTATTTATTGTATTATATGAACGAGAACTGTGAAATTTGCACTTTCCTTATATATGTATATATATATAAATATATCATAAAAAAGATAATTAATTATCAATCGATATTATTTTAGGTGATGGAGAAGAAACAGAAGAGAGTATTGAACGGTCTAATGCTATAATAGCAGCTAATACTGACGAACATGGTGAACAAAGTCACCTTATTGTTTGGCAAGTACAGTGTCCAGTGCCAATGGCCAGTTAGCCTACGAAATGGAAAGACAACTTCATCATGGTGCACGACTAGCTATATATATATTTATATATATATATATCTTTCAACAATAGTTGGTCAATTAACGCCCACATGTTGTTGAAAATCATTGATAAATGATACTTGTTGATTCAAGTAAACAATATGCGGTTATAGTATAACTAAAAACACAAAATGGTTTCATACAGCAGTATAAGGAAAAGCGTTATTAAATAATAATAATAATAAGTCAAATTTCGTGATAAACATTTAAGATCTTGGCAGCATGTATTACATTTACTCTGCTTCTATGTTGAGTAATCTAGGAAACAAATATATAACAACAGTGGGATCCGATTATTATTACAAATAATATTATTTATCGGTTATTGTTATTTATAATTAGTTGATCTGTTTAACAGACTCTAGTTAAAATAAGTTATTTATTTTGTACATTTTAATTATTGATATTTATTGTGATAAAATTACATTTGGAAACAAATGATAAGAATTTTTTTTGCACATTTATATCCATTGTAAATGGATCTTTTTAAAAAATTATTTGTGTTATAAAAATTAGAGAATTAAATATTTATAATGTTATGTTAAGTGTACAGCTTGTGATAAATTTAAATTTGAAAATTTTATATTTATTGCTTTAATGTTAGATGATTTTTTAAATTTAAAAGTTGCAAGTTTCAAAATGATTAATAGTAAACGGATGCCACCGTGTATATATAAATATATATATTAATATATATAAATCATCAAATATTTATTGGATTCGAAGTAATTTAAAAAAATTTGATAATTTATGAAATGTTTTTTAGAATTATAAATATTTTTGTTCGAATAAGTTTAGGCATTTTCCTAATCTGTTGTGGTTTAATCAAATTATTTGAATAGTCGTATGCACTTATTTATGAAAATAAGTCATTGAATAATCACAGCTGATAGAATTGGCTCTAAAGTTATAATGTTCTTGCCACAAATCAATCTAACAAAATAATAAAAAAAATAACATTTGGAATATTGTCGTGACATATAGTCATTTATATTTCACGTTGTATGGATTGTTTTAATATAAACATCAAATGGAATAAGTGGTGCAATTAACTCAGGCAGATTTTAGTTGTATAGTCTATTATTTATCATGTCTTTTAATTTGTTTTATTTCTATATATATATATATATAACCTTTGCTTACCACACCCAGCGAGAAAAATTGTTATAAAAAAGAAACCATTGCATAGATTTACTTCAACATTTTTTTTGAGACTTCTTTAATACTTACTTCAAAAGACTATATAGGTTTTATAGCTTTAAATTAAATTGAAATATGTTGAAAATAATTACCAAAGTTGTGAACAATTGAGAAAAATGACTCGAGTTGCAAAAACAAAGGTCTTGGTCCTTTGGACCAAGTGTGATAAGCGAAGGTTAAAAAAATAAAAAAAGAAAGGATAGAAACTATATATATATATATATATTGCATATAATGTATTATTATTTGCAAAAATGAATTTCATGAAAAATCGTCTTTTACGATTATTCATAATTTCGACGAGTAGTAATGAGCCAATTATGTAAATATTATAAGCAATTTTTTTTTAATAGCGCAAATAGAATTGTAATTATTTAAATATTTATTGACGGAAATAATGATATTATAATTTACGAGTGAAAATTCATTTTTTTTGTTTTTTGCTCCGTCTTTTAATGCTTATGTTCTTTTCTTATATATACGTATATACATACATACATACATACATATATAATATTACCAAAGACAGGGATTTATATGTTATAATATCTCTTTCTCACATTCTCTCCCCAGTGATTTTTAATAGCAAATGTTTATTTTTAAATGAGTAATGCAACGTTAGTCATGCGACTGAAAATGAAATGTTTTATTTCGTAGTAGAATTATTTTCATTTAATCGAGCTCCATTCACAAGAAAAAGAAAAAAAGAAAATACATTGTGAAATTTTTATAATTGCCTATGTTATTGTTGCCAATATTTGCGACGATTTAAATGACGATAAAGATTGTGCGTAAAATTGTGAGAGCTCGCTTATAATAACGAGCTCGGATCTGTACCTGGCTCAGATGAAGCTGCAACGACATTTAATAAAGTGTTGCAAACAAAATACAAATTCTCCATAGAGAATATAGTTTTTTTTTTCTTTTTTTAATCATCTTTTTTTTCTTCTATTATATCAAATTTGTCCTTCGTCAAAAGATGGAAAATAACATTTGTTGTTTTCATTTGAATGATATGAATTCAGCTATGCGAGACCAATCGAGAACTCGAGACTTGTTTTATTTCTTTTTTTTAACTAAATTTAATAAAAACAATAATTCTTGAATGAAAACATCTGCTCGATCAAGCGCGAACAAATATATATATATATAAAATGGAGAACACGTGAATTATATCGAATGATAAGGTTATTCATATATATATATTGAGATAAAATAGGAAAGATCCTGATAAATACACTTTTGATAAAATATCGGACTAAGTATTCAACTTATCTCTTATTATTGATTTATAAATTTAAATATTCTTAATTGTTTATTTCAAATTAAACCGCGCGTATTTTGGAATTTTTTGAATCAAACCAATGTTTGTAAATGTGATCATATTAAATATTATTTTAGCTAGAGTTACTTTGAAGATAGAAGACAAAAATTAAAAATTATAATTCATAAGAAGAAGAAGAAGAAGAAGAAAAAGAATCGTAGAAAGGAACAGAAAAAAGAAACAAATTAAGAGACAAGGTCGAAAGGCATAGAAAATTGAAACGGTGAGAAGTCGATGGGAGGGGAAGATTATATAAAAAAAAAAAAGAAGAAAAAAAAAGTAATTAATGAATCGAGCATTCGTGAAGAATAAGGATGTATGTGGTTTCCTTTTTTCGTACCCTTCAAAAAAAGTATTGCGTATTATGGCGTAAGGTTGCTCCCTCATTCTTCCACCAATCGCGGTTCGACGTAGGTGATAAAAGCACGCTGTCATCGTTGCCAGTCAGTTTCTATTCTTGGCATCGTGAGGTACGGACGTTCTCCAACATCGTCTTACTAACTAGAGGCAAACTTTTTATTGCGACATCATTTAAACGATCTCAACGTAGTTACACAACCGGTAAATCCTGTGAAGATTTGAAGGACACCAAGATGGCAGGCACATCGAGAGATCCTGCTGCTGAACAACTTAACGATTACAAGAAAAGTTTGAAGGTATGATCTAACGATCTAAATCAAATTTCTATTTAAATGATCTATGATCAATTTATTCTAATGCTGTTACCACACACATTAATATTATTATTTGGAATTTCTTTTTTTTTCCCCCCCATTTCATTCATGACCTCCATTTTTACTAGTGTAGTAACCAACTCTCTTTCATTCTTTCTTTTTTTCTTTCTCTATTTATCTTTTATATTTTGTAAGATTTATATTATGACGTTAGTGAAATCAAATTAACACTTCCTTACTTAATCTTATAATATCAGATCTCTATGTATATGTTAAAAAGTGATAAGAACAAAAATATTTACGTAGAAATGAAATATGTACGATCTATATGTTATCACATAATGTTTATATATATATATTTTTATCTATTTGTTTACCTTTTGTTTTTTTTTTTTGCATGAGATTATTATAGAAATTTTTTTCCAAATATTTCAAATGTTTATCATTTTAATGCCGCAGCTTGGATATCCAACTAAAATAAATTATATAACATCTTTATAGATTTGCATTTAATGTCATTCAATTTTTATTTATTTATTTAAAATGAATTTATTCAATGATTGGATAAATATATATATATATATAGGTACTACGTTGATAAATTAACATTTTCATTTGAAATGTAAATGTTTCAAGGATTTTGTATAGATAGTCGCCTTTTTAAAAATTCTTTTCACTAAATCTAGAACATTAGAAACTAACTTTTAACATAGATGCCTAAAAAGAAAAAGAGAGAGTTCCCATATGCACATGTATAGATATATGTTATATACACATATATGACGCGTCAGTTTAATTAATTACACAAATGTATTTATTTATTATGAAAATAATATCTGAGTAACATAACATTTGACATATTTCTTTGATCTATTTGCATATATGCAAATCCATAATAACTTCGTTGATATTAAATTACACACTACTTATTATTAAAGAAAGAGAGAGAGAGATAGCATTAGATCAAAGTCCTGTGTATGACGGGAAATCATTCGACAGGCACCCTGAAATTTATATCATATCGACGCGATGTATTTTAATTATGTTTACCAATGCAAATGCTCTACGTATTTTTTATTCTATTTATAAGTTAACTTTTTATTATTGCAATTGAATATCGAAATTCGATAAATTATTCATATTTTTTTTTTTTCATTTCGACTTTAAAATGTTTTTATATCATCTATTGGGATCTCTTTAAAAAAAAATTTTTTTTAATAATATAACTTTAACGAAGTTGAAATAGTTGTAAGTTATTCCGTTTTTTTTTTTTTATTATTTCGCGGAAAGAAAAAACTGATGACTATCTTTATTGATCGAAAAAAATGTTTATGTGTGTATATAGGCCGTTCATTTTTCTAATCGATTAACTTCCACATATGAGAATATTACAAACATAATAATCTACACATTATCGTATTATTTATCATTTAATGATTATATTCATTTTGATCATTTAATATACATTTTATTATTATGAAAATTTCAACTAATTTTTGAATAAAAATCAAATTAATCGGTCAGGTTTTTCAATGGCTTATTATATTCATCTATATATATATATATAGATATATTGACATAAGCAAAAGCTCTCACGAAAATTCCATCTTTGATAGACAGTTAATCTTTATCCTCTTTCTGATAACAAATCAGTACACATATTATGTTAGAAATAGAAAAGGAAAAAAAGAGGAAGTATATATATATATAAATAGACGTAGAATGAGAAGGAATGATTGCGATAATATTTGAAGCTCGTTTATTTTACTGCAAACACGAGGAAGAATATTTTGTTGTTCGTAATAGAAATGAATTATTACTTTTGTGTAAACATAATTAAGAAATCGGAAATAAAATTGATTAAATTCGACCGTTGATCGTTAATTTATAATTCAACAGAGTGTAAATAATTAAACACATACCGTGTGACTTGGTAACAAAACAAAACAAAGAAACAGATGTGTGCAGATCACACACGTGTTAGAAGTGAAATCTTCAAAAAAACTACATTTCCAGAGAATGAGACGAATACGAAATACTTGCTGTAGGATAATAGTATTCTTTTCTTATTTAGTAACGTGTCCGTTTCATTGCCTTCCACCGTTCCGTTACATAGCCGCCTACCGCACCGTGTTACATTTTTTCAAATCACACCCATTCTAAAGAAGTTTTCACTTCACAAAGAAAAAAGAACATTAATATTTTCAAGACGATAAGAAAACGTCGATAAAATTCTTGTTTTATTATCACATTTTTTTTTATAATAAAAAAAAAAACAATCTTAGCAACAAGAAACCAACGTTGCAAATTCAGTAAATTACATGCAAATGCTAGTCCTAGTTTAAGTGTATATTACAGCATTTAGCAACGATATTCGTGTTAACTAGCGTTGTAAATTATTTCTAAAGGTTATTTTACTTGTACGGAATAAGGTATTCATTAGAAACGAGTTGAATGTACTTAGAAATATGGCCGAATATGATCAATTTCACTGAACGTTACACGGTTGCGTGATCGAACAAAAATATTGCGTAGAAAGTTAAGAATGTAGGATGAGTTAGAACTTCATTGTATGATTCATAATGATAAATGAGGACGATGATGATGATGATGAGGTACTATTGTAATATTCAAAATCTTTTTCATCATGCTGAGAGTAATTTCTTTTTTTTTTTTTAAAGTTCTACCAATTTTTATGTCGTTCGATTTTCTTCATGAATCTTCAATTCGTATTAATTCAATGATTATTTATCCGTTTATAAATGTATGATATTCTATTTGCGGATGAAAAAAAAGATTAGAAAAATCTATTTTATCTGTTAGTTGGTATTTGTGGTGATTTATCACTACACTTTATCTCACGTTTTCTTTTTAATCAAAAACAAAATTCAATGTGAGGTAATCGAAGATATCGATTGTGAAAAAAGCAAATAGTATCAATCATATCAACAGAATTCCTCTTGTTTACTTTTATTGAAATTCTATTATATTTTATCTATTTGCGTATTTGATAAATAGTAAAAAAAAAAAAAATAAATCCACGAGTATAATTAAAAGAAAAAAAAAAAAAAAAAGAATAAATAAATGATAAATTTATGAAGAAGGTCTGTTTGTAATGATGAAATATTTCTTTTACCAATCAACCAACACAATTATCTATTTGAAGAAACCATTTAAATGTATCTTCTTGAAATAAGTTAACTCACGTATGCAATTGCTGCTGCTAAAGAGCTTTGAAAGTCGACGAGATAATTGTAATAAGTGGTCAATGCTAAACTAATACGTCTGTTACAGGAATAGTAACTAATTTTCTTTTAGTAAATCTTTGAAACGTTTGATAAATTACATCATGAAAAAAAAAAAAAAAAAAGAAAGAAAAAGATAGCTAGATAAATCCTTGATTTCATTATTTTCATTGATTTCTTTTTGTTTCTGTCAATAAAAAGGGTGCACCACCTGTATTGTTAACCGGTAATGGAGCTCTCATCGGTGAAAAAAAGGCCAGTCTTACGGCTGGACCAAATGGCCCAATTTTATTACAAGATTTTGTTTATCTCGATGAAATGTCACATTTTGCAAGAGAAAGAATCCCGGAACGAGTAGTGCATGCTAAAGGAGCCGGTGAGCGATTACCTACTATTCAAAATTAATTAAACAAGATTTATTATAATGCAAGGTATTTAATAATTGAGCCGTTCAGTGCACACACATCGATTAACTCCATAAAACAAACAGTTGAGAAATAATGTATGTTGCTTATTTAAATTCCTTTCAATGGCCAAACAAATTTTGCCGTTTAATGTTGTTAATCTTTATTATTCAGAAAAGTTATTTAGAAATATCAAAAGTTTCAACTATACCAAGTGTTTTGAGACACTTAAATTTAAGATATTTCAAAAAGTTGTGTTAATCGATGTGTGCAATTATCGAACCGATCGAGTAACTTCCTTTTAAATTCTTTGAATACAAACTAAACGAACAATTGTACAATTAAATACGAAATGAACATGTAAGTATTAATTATATTTTTTATTTTTTTGTTTTCAGGCGCTTATGGTTATTTCGAGGTTACACACGATATAACGAAATACACAAAAGCAAAAGTCTTTTCTCAGATTGGATTAAGAACTCCGATTGCCGTGAGATTTTCTACCGTGGGTGGTGAGAGTGGTTCGGCTGACACCGTTAGGTAAAACTACAAGTTACTATTAAAAAAAAAAAAAAAACCTTTTCACTATTTACAATTCCTTTGTTTTGCTGTTTTTGGGAGAAAAATATGAGAACAATAATCTATGAGAAAGTTTCTACAAATATTCTCATGGTTGTTGACTTATGTTAAAGAAATAATTATTATGATATTATCATGGAATATAATACGATTTCCTTAAATCGTTTAGTATTTACGAGTAATTTTATTTATATTTTATTTATGAGTAATCCTCCATATTTGAAACTTTTGCAAAAAAAAAAAAAATACTTTAAAATGTAGAAGAAAAAAATGTTAAACGTGTAAGATAATGACTCACGTATAATTACACAATTGCGTTTCTAATGTTTCATTATTATTATTATTATTATTTTATTATATCTATATATAGAATTAACGATCTTAATCTATGAGAACTATAGCAATTGTTATCAATTTGTTTTTTTTTTCTTATAATAATAATAGAAGTTAGTCTAAGTTGTGTAATAAATAAACAACTTTCCAAGTTTCATCAAACTTGGTTTCATTCGATTGCAGGGATCCACGTGGATTTGCGGTTAAATTTTATACCCAAGAAGGTATATGGGATCTAGTTGGTAACAATACACCTATATTTTTTATCAAAGATCCACTTCTATTTCCTAGTTTTATACATACGCAGAAAAGAAATCCTGTGACTCATTTGAAGGTTTGTATGAAAGATGATTAACAATTAGTTTATAGTAAATTATTATTTAAATAATTCATACTATTTCATATTTTGTAGGATGCTGATATGTTCTGGGATTTTATTTCGTTAAGACCAGAATCAACACATCAAGTATTATTTCTATTTTCCGATCGTGGTTTACCAGATGGATATCGTCATATGAATGGTTATGGCTCGCATACCTTCAAACTTGTCAATTCATGCAATGATATAGTTTACTGTAAATTCCATTATAAGGTATTGCTTTACTTTGTTTTGTCTTATTTTATGTTTATATAATAAATTTAATGGAAGTTTTGAAATTGAATTATTGAATTACTTTCAGACCGATCAAGGCATTAAAAATCTTTCAAACGAGAGAGCAGCAGAATTGAGCGCTTCCGATCCTGATTATTCTATCCGAGATCTTTATAATAATATCGCGAAAGGAAATTATCCATCATGGACATTCTCCATACAAGTGATGACCGTGGAACAAGCGAAGAAATTTAGATGGAATCCATTCGATGTTACAAAAGTAATAACTAATTATTGTTATTTGCAATTTGGTAATCTTATTTATAATTTATTATATTAACGAATGATGTGTTTGATTAAAACAGATATGGCCGCACAGTGAATTCCCATTGATTCCCGTGGGTAAATTGGTGCTAGATCGCAATCCTGAAAATTATTTCGCCGATGTAGAACAAGCAGCATTTGATCCAGCTCATATGCCACCTGGAATCGAACCCACCCCAGATAAAATGTTGCAAGGTCGTCTTTTTGCTTATGGCGATACACATAGATATCGCGTGGGTCCGAATCATCTTCAATTACCAGTCAATTGTCCTTACAAAGTAATTATTTATAACGTGTAACTTATAACAATAATTTACAAATATAATTGATAAAAACTATTCACATATTATTTTCTATTGTAGACTATATCAACGATCAACTATCAAAGAGACGGTCTTATGGCGGTGTACAATCAAAATGGTGCACCTAATTATTTTCCGAATAGTTTCAACGGGCCAAGAGAATGTCCTGCTGTACGTTCACCACCTTTCAGTATTACCGGTGATGTTGATCGTTACGAACCCGAAAATGAAGATGATTTTGGACAAGCTACATTATTCTGGAGAAACGTACTTGATGCTAATGAAAAGAACAGGTTGGTAGGTAATTTAGTAGGCAGTTTAAGCAAAGCTTCTCTGTTTATAATCGAAAGAGCGGTGAAAAATTTCTCTCAAGTTGATATCGAATTGGGTAAGAAATTGACCGAAGGTTTGCGTAAGGCTGGAGTACCAATAAATTTATCTGAAAAATCTGCTCGTCTATAAGGATTTCAGATTTTTTATTATCGAACAAAACATATTATATTTTGCACTATTTTTTTATTTGTATACTAATAATATAACTGTAAAATTAAATATTAATAATGTACTTATTAAATATGTATCATTCACAGAGCACATAAATATATTCTTATTTTTTTGTGAAACAAACGTTGCCGTCCAATGGACCCACGTTTGGACCATGGGACCGAAATATATTTTTATTTTTGATTAGATGACATAAATCTTTAATCCTCAGTTTAATCCTCATAATAATATAATATAATATGATCTATGTACCGTCCCTTATGTTCCTATTTACCTGCTTAATTAAAAAAATTAAGGGTTAAAACGTTCTGATTTTAACATTTTTGATCTCTTTGAACATTGAGGGAGAAGAGGTGTAAAAGAGTTGAGGGAGGTGTGGAGGTGAGGATGGAGGTGGTGGAGGTGTGGGGGAGAGATTGGGGGTGGGTAGGAGTGTTTTAAGATTGTCAGAAGGTTGGGAATGGTGAGGATATAGAATATTTAAAATGATATGTAGAAAAGGTCAACGTGCCAGTCTGAAGGTGAGTTCCGAGGAAGACGGTATTCTGATCGTATACTCGGTGTTTTTAAATAACAATACACGTTCCTTTCGATTAATTAATAATTTTTGAATATTCTAATACACTTTAATTATATTTCAAATTGTTTAAACGCATATACATTTATTTAAACATTCCATATCGTTCCGATTACTATAAAATCAATAATTAAAGTAATGAATAATAAATTAATAAATTTTATTAATAAATAATACAATATCGACTTTCTTTTTAACCATGTTAGTTAAATTCCATATAATTTATTTATTAAACAAATTCAAAATTTTGAAAATATCGAAATTGGCGCGCCGTTAATTAATCGATTATGCAAATCATTTGCGCGGGATTTTTAACATTCCATACTGTTCCAATTATTATAAAATAAATAATTAAAATAATAAATAATAAATAAATAAATTTTATTAATAAATAATACAATTTCGTACATATACTACGTTAATTTTATTATATAATAATTACGTTATAGTTAAATTCCATACGTTAATTTATTTATTAAACAAATTAAAAATTTTGAAAATATTGAAATTGGCGCGCCGTTAATTAATCGATCATGCAGATCATTTGCGCGGGATTTTTATTAATCGATATAATTTCGAGTGGCATCCCTGACAGAGATATCAATTGTTTTTAGTTCAGTTATGTTCCTTCGGTTCAACGCGATAGTTTTAAACGTGTGAAATAAAAATCAATTAAATAATAACGTAAAGTGAAATCATTAAATTAATTATATTATCTATTTCTTAGATCAATATGTTAATTCTTTATCGCGAAACTAATAATGATTAGAATAGTCGATTAATTAAGAAGAGAAGTATGTTTTACAAATAATGTTTTCGTTCGTATGCATAATGGCTAATATTCCCAACCGTTTTAGAACGAACATTTCCAGTAAACTATAAAAATCTTTGAATTACGGTTTATCCTCGGAAAGCGGTTTCTTTCTTTTTCTTTTTTGTCGGTAATATTGGTTTCTCCAAAGCAATATTTTTTTATTTATGCGTATACGGTCTCTGCAGGATCTAAAAGAGTGCCGAAAAACCGTTATGCCTGACAAATTAATGTTACAGCTAATCTCCCGCGTAAATTTGTTTTTTCTTTTTTCTTTTTTTTGTTCATTTCCACTATTTCTACCTTTTTAAATCCGTAATATACTTTTTTCTTTTATTTATTTTTTATTTTTTTTTTTATTTCTAATTTGTGATACGTTTGTATTAGTGAGTGAAGGAAGAGTTATAATGAGAGGAAAATTTGTGGGAGTCCAGGTAATAATATATATATATATATACAGTAATACATATAATAATAAATATACAATAATACATATAATAATATACATATATAGTCATTGGTAAAATAATTCCGATTTATTAGATAGCACCCCAGATGTCGTCTACGCCTATACCTGGTTTAGGGTCAAGGGAATTGGCTGCTTGGACAAGAATGACAACAATAGCCAGTCAAGGTTTGTGGGAAACATTCTTCCAATTCAAATATGAAACATCAGGTGGGCTAGCGGGTTACTATTGTATTGCGATTGACCAAAAATTTAGCAAGACTGTATAGTATTGAGGTGTCCATTCACATCAATCAACATCAACTGCAACGAAAATGCAGCGTGAAACATTGCATGTATCATGTCGTATGATATATCAAATTTTTGATATGTTCTCCAGAGATTTGACAGGTTTCTCGAATAAGTTTTGACCTGATTGTTGTGTCGTGGGACTAGCATATAGTAACAAAAGATATTCCGATTGAGAATAGATTGAATTAGTCGTAGTTGATGTGGCAGAGTCGTAGGTTGAGTCGTTGCTAACTCTCGCCGAGAGATGGTGCCAGAGTGAATGGAAAGAATCGAGTTAGAGCTATTAAAGGGGCGGCGCGATATGGTCCCGGGCTTGAGGATTCATGGCTGGCGCGGGTAAGTAGAGAGAGCTAAAGCAGCAAGCAGCGCGAGGCGAGCCACGAAAACACAGAGAGAGAGTAAAAGAAGAAGACCCGGGTGAGACGCGGAGCAAATTAAAGAGGGAGAGAGAGAGAGAGAGAGAGATGGAGGAGAGAGAGAGAGAGAGAGAGAAGGAACAGGAGGTGGAGGGAAAGCACCAGTACCAGCAGCACCAGGAGGTGGAGGAGGAGGTGGAGGTGGTAGCGAGGGGGTGGCGCCACAACGATTCCAGACTCGCGTTTAACGTTGTACGAACCGAAGGAAAGCGGATTGCCGTCGTCGAGTCGAGTCATACGAGTTAGTGCGAGCACCCTCTTGGTGTAAAAGTAGAGAGAGAGAGAAAAAGAGAGAGAGAGAGAGAGGTGGGGCAGATAACGAGTAGGTGCGCGAGAGTACGTGCCTCTCTCTTTAGCGCGTTACGCGTGCTCCCTCAGTGCGAGAGCCTGCAAGGAGCCGCGTACACGCGTTTTCGCGCGTGCGACGGATAACCGCGAAACCGGACACACGCGGACAAAATATACGTCAAACAGAAATAGACGACAGGGAGAGGAGGGAGACAGAGGGAGAAAAACAAACAGAGATAGTGCCCTGACAATTTAGGAAAGGGAAGGAGGAGGAGGACATTATTATTCTTCCGAATATTTTCAATGTACGATTATTAATTATAATTATTATTATCATCATTATTATTATTATTATTATTATTATTATCATTATCATTATTAATGTAATTAAGCACGCGAGTGAATTACATTTGTTCATTTTTGCATAAAACACGCGAGCGTGCTTTTAACTCGATTGAATTTTTGCGAATAACGTGCGAATGGATCGTATCCGCGAGTTTGGATTATTTTCATCAAAGTTTATCTCCATCTCCTTCTCCTCCTTCTTCATTGTCATTTTCTTCATCTTCTTCTATTTCTTTTTTGTGCCTTTAACGCACGCCGTAAGAACGTTCGAGCTTATTGGAAATAGTTCGTAGTTTTGAAAGAAGTGCAGAGACAGGATACATTCTCGGAGTTTATTAGCGGACTACCACCACTCGGCAAACTGGACGCAGAGCTCAGTAGCGGCGGTGGCCGCAGGGCTACAAGCCCTTCAGCAATTCTTGGCAGTATAAATGTGAGTCTATATTTTCATACGTTGTTTACACGTGCACACACACATATATGCGTGTGTTCGATGTTACTTAGACAATAGCGTTGACGTTAACGGGAATATGAAAAATCTGAAAATATATTTAACAACTCATGGTAATTGTAGAAAGGAAAAAATCATTTGATAAATGTTCTATGAATTTGAATAATATGATAGAAAGATGTCACCAAATAGATTTCATATTTCTCTTAGTAACCGAGGTAAATATATCGATCGTTCGTAAATCATCGTCAGTCTTGTAATATTCTCGATTGGAGTTAGGGTTTTGTGTTCGTTGAGCGACCAACGAAATCGTGGATAGTGAAATGGAGCCTTGGCACGCGAGAGACGAGCCTAAGCTTTAGACTTGTTTCAAACCGAACGTTATGCGATTCGACGGTCTCGAAGAAGAAGAAGAAGAAGAAGAAGAATAAGACAACCTGAAGAAAGAAAGAAAAACAATAAATAAAAATGGAACTCTGTGTTTATGTATGGACGAGTGAGAAAGACAGACGAGAAAAAGGTAAAAGGAAAAAGAACATGGTGTCGGCACTTCGCTGACACACCCCCCACACAAATCTAATTAATTTATATCTTGAGAGAGGCGCCATCGGAGACCTCTGGCTCCGACTGTCCGAAAAGAAACAAAGGAGAGAGGGCCCAGTACCTTCGTAGGACTCCTCCGACTTCTCCCTTTTAAGTTAATACTCTTTTTCGAAGGGTACTCCCTCCCTCCCTCCCTCTCTCTCTCTCTTTTGATTTAGATTTATTTTTTTTTTTGAAGAATTTCGAATAAAATATCAATGACACACACTTGCCGGTAACTTATGTGTCTTCTTTTATTATAAAAAAAAAGGATTATCTAAATTATATATTTAGAAAAAAAAAAGAAAAACACTAAAAATGAAAATAAAAATGATGCTAAGAGACTAACCACCAACCAGATGCGAGAAAACGAATTCTCAAGATAAGCTGGCACCTCTTTCGCGAGTTCGAGCAGCTGTTCGAGGATTATGCAATGCCTCGGGGATTAAGACATCAGGCGTTTTTCGATGGACAAAGGAAGACCATTTCTCTTTTTTCCGTTGTCGACCATTAAAAATGACGATTTTTAAAAAAACAAATAAAAGAACAAAATAATTAAATTTAAAAAAAAAAAAAATGTATGAATATTATTATAATATAAGTATGCACTTTCTACTCTTGTTGCATACTTTGTAGAAAAATAGTTGATGTTAATCGTTAATGATGTGTAGGGTACTTAGTACAAGGTAAACAACAACGTATTAAACGCGCTATTAACTAACATACAACACAAATATCAAAGTTTTCTGTCTCATTATGTTTATTACGGTATTAACAGTCCTCGAGGTTAAGAAAGGTCCATCGACACATATCGAGACGAGCTCAGTTTGTCTATGTACGTTTCTTCATAATTACTTCGTGTTTGGTTACGTCAATGATAGTAAACCGAGGACCTTCCTCCTTTCATGAATATTTTCAAAGTTTTCAAGTCCACGTTCTTGTTGAAGGAAAAATGACGACGACGACGACGACGACGACGCACGGAAACGAAAAGAAGAGAGACTGATGATGAAAAAAAAAGGGCCCGCGGCGGCATCAACATCGATAAAGACTGGAAGCCGTTTCGTAATCGCGGCCAAGATCATTTTCTGCACGACTGCTCGGGAAATTAGATCACCTACCAACCTCTCCCGTCCCATCCCGTCTCGTCCCGTCTTTTACCGGTAGCGAATGAGAGAAATCTAGGCAGGTTTCATCGGACTCTGATGCAGGAAGAACTTCTTCTTCTTCTTCCTCCTATTTCTTCATTATCTTCTACTTATTCCATAGACCCCACCCTTATTCTTTATTATCTCATCTTGTTGCTCTTGTTTCTTATCTTGGATTCATCTCGTCCATTGATTTGTCGCCGATAATTTAGTAATTAACTATACAACTTATCTATACTTTGCTCTCTCTCTCATCTTATGGATCATCATAAATGGATGTAGGGTTCTTAACTATATACCATTCTCGACTATCGCATACTCGCTTTTCTTCTTCATTTATTAATCCTCGAATTAATCATACCACAAATGCGATAACAAGTTTTATATATTTTAATACCGTTACTAATTTTTCTATTTTACTTTTTCTTACAATTTTCCGACCAATTATATATCCCTTCCTTTCTCTAGTGTCCCATTAAAATCAATAGTATTTTAATATCGACTTAACAATCGATAGTACTTTACTCTGGAATATCCCTAAAATGATAGGTACAGTCATTGTCTACGATAATCGATATCGATTACGTATTAGTTTATCGAAATTCTGTGTAAAACAATCGAGAAGATTCGAGGATTATCCAGCGAGCGGCAGGTCGTGCGGCGTGGAGAGCACCGAAAGATCTTTCCACCACCATCAAAGGATCGTTGTTTCATCTTTCTTACTCTCGCGATACCTCGAGATCTATCTCGAGCCCTTTCTCCTTCCCTTTCCTCTTTCCTCTTTCCCTTCGTCCTTCTCTTGGTCTCTCTCTCTCTCTCTCTCTCCCTCTCTCCCTCTCTGTTTCACTTTCTCTCAGTTCTCCAATTCCCCTTCTCGTTCTGTTCTTCTCATCTTCCTCTTTGGTTCTCGGCTCTTCGACTTCGCTTTTGGCTCGGGCCGGGTGTAATCGGTTCTCCGAAGCCAGGGCTCATTATCGACCCGTCGGCCTAGCAATTACCTGCGAAGCCTCTTTCAACTTCGTGTGTGCCAGCCAACACAGTTTCCGAGTCTTCGCGAGGCCTTCCGAGATCGTTCGACGAGGATGGATCGAAACGAAACCAACCAACCGTCGTCTTGTGTATGTGTAAGAGAGAGAAAGAGAGAGAGAGAGAGGGAGGAAGGAAGGAAGATCAACGGGAGAAGAGATCGTAAGGAACAGGAAAAGAAAGGAAAAAGGGAGGCAACATCCCTTTTCGCGAAAAAGGGCTCATTCTAACGCTGTACGATTATCTTGTACGAAGACGCGCTTGGACGATCGCTGATAATTACTGAACGTGGCTCGGTAGTATGCAATAATTGCTGAGAGCTTGCCAACTTCGCGCCAGTTTACCAGGAAGAATCTTACCTATCCTAAGAGAATCTTATGGAATATTTTCGAGAGAGAGAGCGAGAGAGAGAGAGAGATAATGCATAACTTTCCAATTAATCTTTTCATCGTTATAATAATCTACTTGTTTGTTAGATCAACTATATTCCATAATCAATTTGACAATGATTAAGTATTATATATTTTAATGAAAAAAAAAAAAAAAAAAGTAGTATATATTATGATGATATCGTTTAGAAGACCATAACATTTCTCTCAAAGGTTTTCATTCGTGATATAAATAAAGTAAAGAAGTTTAACGATATCTACGATGTGTGGTAGGTAATCGTCCCCGCAATTACGTCGTTGCAACGTAGTTTTCAATTTTCTTTTTTTTTTTTTTTTTCACTTTATCATCGACGTATCTTTTAAAATTTATTAAAAGATCCGATCTTTTTTTTTTTGTTCTTTCTTTCTTTCTTTCTTTCGATCGATGAATATAAACCTGGCTAAGATTTTTCGCGATAAAATATTATACGTGAGAATAAAAGAAAAAGAAAAACTAGAAAAAAATAAATGCACATAGAAAATATTCTTGGAAAGTAACGGGGAGTGTGTGATTCGTGTGAGAATGTCGTTCGACTTCTTGGAAAAGCCTTCGGAATCGAGCCCTCGGTTTATATCGTGAGAGTAGTATAGGAGCTTTAACGAAAGGAGGAAAGAGGAATTCTCGACAAAAGGCAATTTTGTTGTTGGTGGACGCGACGAGGGTGGAAGGGAGAAAGAAAAGGGCAAGTTTGACGATTGCTCAGACCTACTTGCTCGCATGATCTTAACAAACGCAAAGCTTCTCTTTATTCGCGTATTTAAACACGCGACCAAATCTAAAAGGGCCAATCCTCCCATCGTATCTGTTAAACCGGAAGTTTGGAAAATTTCCTCTTTT